GACGATTGTACTAATGTTAACGCTTGTTTTAAGGCTAACACGACTATGCATAATACCAATGTTAATTTTAACATTCATGCCTCTGTGCATACCAATAATCATATTCACAGTGATATTAGTACGTATATTAATGCCAATACTAATACGCACATGCAGATTCTAAAGTAGATACGTATGCATACCACTATGTTAAAGTACAAATACATTATAACGCATTCATGTATCAATATGCTACTATTTTTGATGTAGTCAAGAGTAATACTAGTACAAACATTCCTGCGGACACAAATCACCACATTCATATTAGCATTAATGCTAGTACTAGTACTAGTAATTAATGCCAATATTTATACCAATATCAATATTTACGTAAATATTGATGGATACGAATAGTGTAATACGCAAGCATACGCACATATTCATATACTACTATGCCAACATATTGATATACCTATGCAATATTAGATAATATAAGAGTATAGTACATATACTGGTATACCAATAATATACTAATGAACTAATGTACGAATATGCTAATAGGAAAACATATTAATACACCAATATACTACTGTGCTCATGCACCAATGTACCAATATAGAAAGAACAATTATATACACGTATACAAATATACTATTGTTCCCTTACATTAACTATATTGATATATCAATTTGTTAACACATGAATCTATCACTGTATGGGAATGCGATGCTATGGGAAGGCCATACGATCAGCAATATTTAATATTGGACTCGAACAAGGCAGCTCCAGCAGAGCCATGAGACAAGGCAGATCAGAACCAGCACAGTAAACTCATTTCTAAAAATGAGCAAAACAACATCACCAACATAACCCAAAAAATACACCTGTAAAAAACAACAATATCCAGAACTCTTTCACAAGTGCGCATGATTGCAAAGGTTTCCGCAATATGTTTTTGAGTTTTTTTGTATTGGTTTTCTTGGCTTGTTGATATTGTTTTTGTTTGGCTGTTTTTGGTATTGTTTCTTTTGGTTTTTGTTCTTATTTAGGAACACCCGTGGAGTCAGGCATTATCCACGCAGTGCTTCATGAGGACCGTATCTGCAAGTCATGAAAAGGCCCAAAAGGCTGGGCACGCGAACCGGCTTAAAGCCGTTATTTCCTTCAATTCTTGCCTGCCGGATAGTCAACACTGCTTTCTACGCCCCGGAAAAGAGATGATCAGGGCCGACGTCATTCGTGTACTCGCGCGTCAGTATACCTAAGGAAGAAAACCAAGAAAGCCAAAAGGAACAAAGAATCCAAAAACAAAAACACCAAACACCAAAAAAAACAATTCTCCAGGAGACTAGTCCACCAGAGTTTTGTGTGTTGTTTCTTGTTTGGTTTTTTGTTTGTTTTGTTTTTTTGGGGCTCGGCTGACAGGCGCGTACCTGTGCAGGAGCGGAAAAACCAAAAAAACAAAAAAAACAAAAACCAAAAACAACAAAAAAAACAAAAGAACCGACCCCATATCACCGGGCGGCTCCGGAGGTATGGGGTTGGTTATTTTGTTTTTTTGGGTTTTTGTTTTTTTTGTTTTTTTGTTTTTTTTGTTTTTTTTGGTTTTTTTGGTTTCTGAAATTACTCCATAAAACAGCAAGGCTTGTAACTTCTTACTTTGTTGTTGATCGTGCAGAACAATAGACAGACCTAGTTTTAGAGCACGGGCTTTGTTTTAGAACCGGTCTGGTGTAGCTAGTAAAGTAAGTCGCTTACTTCAAACGGGACTGTTGTGGCTGGTACTGCTACTCTTGAACCTGTAAAAACTGCTTATGTAGACACGCCACAACAGTCCTTTCTGTATATTTGAAGGTAGGTTCCTCAACTAAGGGGTTTGGGAGTCTCTGGGTAGTTCTGGGGCATGCGGACTTTCCGGCATCAGGCTCCACGCACCCTACCTAGAGGTTCATACCCTACCCCTTTTGGGGAGGTACCTACTTCTCTATAACCATAAACCTACCCAGAGAGCCCAATACTCCTTAATTAGGGAATATACGGCCTAAGATATATTCCGTAATTAAAGGGTATTGGGCTCTATGGGTAGGTACCCTAAAAGCGGTAGGGTATGACCCTCTAGGTACTGGGCCTCCCTTGGATGGACCTCCTTCAGACCTCTGCCTTTTTGAGGAGTTCTATACAAACGCCATAGCAAGGAATCAAAAAAAGGTAGGTTCTATCGGCTACAGGTAGGGTTAAAGCTCTCAAATTTAGGATTTGGGGCTTAAGAGTTTAGTGTTTAGCACTCCGGAAACTGACACCCTCAGGGCCTAAACCCTAACCCTAAACCCTAAACCCTAAACCGTGCTAAACCCTGAACCTTTGCCGTCTACCTCTGCAGCCTCTCCCTCACCCCTACTGCTTAGCAGGATCTGGGACCTACTCCTTTCCTGAGTTTCCACAGGGTTTAGGGTTTAAGGGTTTAAGGTTTACCTGGACCCTTAAAAAACCGCGTGACGGATGAAAAACAAATTAAATTTGGATCAAAAAAATTAAAGCACAAAGATCGCTAAAAAAATAAAAATTGGATCAACAAAAATTAAATCAGTACTTCCGCCACAGAATCACACAAAAAACAAGGGGTGATCGAGGGTGACGGATCAGAAAAAATATTAAATTTGGATCAAAAAAAGCACAAGGACTCCAAAAAATAAAAACAGTATCAAAAAGGTTAAATCAGTACTTCGCTTTTGCCCCCCTAAAGCGATGTCATGTGTCTCGACAAGGTAAGAAAGCGGTCAGTTCATGTGGCTTCTCCCTCTCTTCGTTTGCCAGAAAGACTCACGTTGTCGTTTTACCTTTGTTTTCTTGTTTCCTGCTCTTGGCTTCCCAAAGCGAATACATCTGGCTTTCGCCCTTTTGCCTGTCGGTGAAGACGTTTCATTCATGAGAAATCTTATATTCTTCGAATTTAAAATCCCCTGAAGTGTTTTCGTGTGGTTTTGTCGTTGTTGTGCGTTTAGAAAAAAACGTCTTTAATTCATTTCATCGACAGCTTAAGAAAGCGGGCAGTTTGCAGTTAAAACACAGGGGGGCGTTGGGGGGGGCGGAGCCCCCCCCTGCAAACCTTCCAACATGAACTTTGTTTTGCTCGCTTTTCCCCCCCTAAAGCGATTTCATGTGGCTGGACAACTTAAGAAAGCGGGCAGTTTGCAGTTAAACAACGGGGGGGTTGGGGGGCGCAGTCCCCCACATTTGCAAACCTTCCAACATGAGCTTTGCTTTGCTCGCTTTTACCCCCGTAAAGCGATTTCATGTGGCTCCCCCTCTCTCCGTTATCCAAAGAGATGCAGGTTTTCGTTTTACTTTGTTTTCTTGGTCTTGCCCTCCCAAAGCGAGCACGTCTGGCTTTCGCCATTTTGCCTGTCGGTGAAGACGTTTCATTCGTGAGAAGAAAACGGGGGGTTGGGGGGGGCGGCGCAGACCCCCCCCATTTGCAAACCTTCCAACATGAACTTTGTTTTGCTCGGTTTACCCCCCCTAAAGCGATTTCATGTGGCTCGACAACTTAAGAAAGCGGGCAGTTTGCAGTTAGACAACGGGGGGGTTGGGGGGCGCAGTCCCCCACATTTGCAAACCTTCCAACATGAGCTTTGCTTTGCTCGCTTTTACCCCCGTAAAGTAATTCCACGTGGCTCGACAACTTAAGAAAGCGGGCGGTTTGCAGTTAAAAAAGCGGGGGTGTTGGGGGGGGCGCAACCCCCCCCCAGTTGCAAACCTTTCAACATGAGCTTTGCTTTGCTCGCTGTTACCCCCCTAAAGCAATTTCATGTGGCTCCCCCTCTCTCCGTTATCCAAAGAGATGCAGGTTTTCGTTTTACTTTGTTTTCTTGGTCTTGCCCTCCCAAAGCGAGCACGTCTGGCTTTCGCCCTTTTGCCTGTCGGTGAAGACGTTTCATTCGTGAGAAGAAAACAGGGGGGTTGGGGGGCGGCGCAGACCCCCCATTTGCAAACCTTCTTTTGTTTTGCTCGGTTTACCCCCCTAAAGCGATTTCGTGTGGCTCGACAACTCAAGAAAGCGGACGGTTGGCAGTTAAATGGCGCGTGGGTGATCACCTTCCTTTCCTTCCATTTCCTTTCATTCCCTCTTGCTTTTCTTTCTTTCTTTCTTCGCTGCTTCCTTGTTTTTTTCCTTCCTTCCTTCCTTCCTTCCTGCTTTTGTCTTTCCTACCTTCTCTCCTTCCTTCTTCCTTTCCTCCTTCCCCCCTTTGCTCCTTCCCTCGTCCCTTTCGTGCTTCCCTCCTTCCTTCCTTCCTTTCTTCCTCCTTCCTTCCTTTCTTCCTTCCTTCCTTCCTTCCTGTCGTGGTTTCGGCTAGGTTAATTTCTTTTGATCCAAATTTAATTTTTTTTGATCCAAATTTATTTTTTTGATGCCTATCCCTAAAAAACCTGCCTTCTTACGGGCCCCTATTATGATTTCTTTACATAAGTCCCGAAAAAGGTAGGTTATTTGGGGTTTAAGGTTTAGGGTTTAGGCGTTTAAGGTTTAGGGGGTGTAGGGTTCGCAGTAGAGGGGACGGGAGTTGGGTATCGGGGTGTGCTGTAGGCGTTTGGGGGGCCTTGGGTCTGGATTCCTAGGTAAGGGTTTAGGGTTTAGGGTTTAGGGGTTTAGGGCTTAGGGTTGTGGCTGAAGGCTATACGCAAAGCATCCCAGGTACTGTTACGGGGGAATCTTCCCAAATCACAACTGTAATTCCTAAATTCTACTTCTACTATATAAACTCTTTGGGCCAAGCTTGGTTGTCAGTTCAGGGACCCTCTGAACCTGCCATGTTTAGGGCTCACCGTTCCGGTGCAAAATCCCCGGAAAACGCAGCTCTGGGAAAACCCAGACACCCTCAACCCCGAAACCCTAAGCCATACCTTAACCCCAAATAACCTACTTTTTTCGCGACGTATATAAAGAAATCATATTAGGGGGCCCTAAAGAGGTAGGTTTTCAGGGTCCAGGTACACCCTCAAGAACCTAACATGGAGTGCACCTCTGCAAGCTCGGTTTCCCGGAGCTTGGTGACCAACCTGGACTCTCCAATCATCACTAGTGCTCTAAGATCGGTTGTGATATCATTATCTATGTTAGGAGTGTCCCCTAAACCCGAAACCCTAAACCCTTCTTAATTACTCTGTTCAAGCCGTATCGCTGACTGGACGCAACCGGCGACCTAACAAGCAGAGCTTCAGGGTTCAGGAATTAAGTAGCAGTTCGAGTTAGAAGTACCTTACCTAGGGTACTCTTTCAGATGCCACGGTTTAGGGTTTAGGGTTTAGGGTTTTCAGATGCATGTCTTTACTCATCACAAGGCATTCCTGAAGTAGAACCAGAAAAGACAATCATACTTGCAATGGTGACAGTGAGAGGAACGACAAGACTTGGCTGTGTTCCAGAACAAGCACTGCTTTGCGGTGAAAGGATGCTCCCCAGGGAAGGAGGAACACTGCTTAGAGGATCAGGGGACCTAGTAAGTGGGTTTATACGTAAGGTAGATATATAGCTATACCTACTAGATAACCTTAATTAAGGTGCGTATAACCCTACTTATTAAGTCCCTTAATCCTCTAAGTGGTATTTGTGGGACTTCATACAGGGCATGGGCTTTTCTCTTCACCTTCGACTCTTTGTCTTTGTCACCGCGACGATCTGCCTACTGACCCTCGGCAAGCATGAAGACGTATGGAATGGAACCCAGGAAACCCTAAACCCTAAACCTCTCATGATTCGAACAGGTCGTTTATTGGGGAATACTGTAACCATGATCAGAAATTCCATTGAACAGTAACACCAATCATTTTGACACCACAATTACGGTTTTATGTGGTGCCCTGCTTGAGAAATCCATCCCCCGTAACTGAGAATTCTACTAAGGATGCTACCACCCCCGTACTCAAAAACACGAATCTTCGCAACCCTTACACACTTCGAAATTGTTACGCTGTGCTACGCAGTGCGCCGCGCCGTAAAACCCGAAATGTACACCTGAACCCCAAAGAACCTACAGGTCAGCAAGCCCTCAACTCTGATCCCGAAACAACTGCAAACCCTAAAGCCCTAAACTATAAAACCTAAAACCCCCTAAAGCCCTAAACTATAAAACCTAAAACCCTCCTAAAGCCTTTAATTATAAAACCTAAAACCCCCCTAAAGCCCTAAACTATGAAACCTAAAACCCCCCTAAAGCCCTAAACTATGAAACCTAAAACCCCCTATTTGCTCAATCCGAATCCCAAAACACCAACCCCTTGCAGACCACTTACACAGCCCTACCCATAGGCTCCGTAGTAGTTCCTTTTTGGGATTGCCTTGTAGGATTCTATATAGTCTGGAGCCTCTAGGTAAGCCCTAGAGCTCCACAAACCCCCAACAACGCAGCCCCTGCTCCGGCTGAGGGTTAAGGTCGGTTTTGGTTTCGGGTGTCGGAGCTTAGGTTAGGGTTTACGGTTTAGGGTTTTAGGGTTTGTAAAGATCGAGTTTAGGGCTAGGGTCTCGGAGTTGAGGGTATAGGGTGTGATGTAGCCTGATTAAGAAACCATGGGCCCTTATTAGTATCCTTATATGAATCCTACTGTTTTGGGGCTATCGGCCCAGGTTTTCTTAATCAGTTTCCTACATTAGGTTTTCGGGCTTCGGCTAGGTCTCAGAGTTGAGGGTCTGGGTCTCCGCATATCCTGCACTTGGCGCCAAACTCCTCGACCATGCTGGCGAGATCCTTCGGCGGACGGCTTGTCAGTGTGTGTGTGTGTGTGTTGTGTTTTCTTTATCCTTCGGCCCCAGGGTTTAGGGTTTAGGGTTCAGGGTTTAGGGTTTTGGGTTTTAGGGTTTAGGGTTTAGGGTTTAGGGTTTCTCCTCACCGGGTGTGAACATGAGTTTATTGGCCGAAATACAGCTCCTTCTTGCAGGGAGAAACTTGTTCGGGGCCTGTGGATTTGGGCTTCAATTCAAACTTAGGCCCCTGGCATATTCGGGCTTCGGGGAGAATATAATAAGCTTTATTGTGGTACATTCGAATGAAGGGGTCGAGGATGTTGTTCAGGTTTCGTTCGAGCTCCGCTTTCTTGGCTGTAGAGTTTAGCTCACGGGCATTCAGCCCTACCTGTGCTACAACAAACCGCCTACAGTAGAAGCCAGAAAGTTGGAACATCATTATCCTCATGCCCTTAAGGTAAAGTATAAGGGATCCTAGCACGAATCCTCCTAAAGCCATGTTCCAACTTTCTGGCGTCTACTGTAAACCCTAAACCTGAGGCCCCTTGCACTCCCCACCCTCAACTTCAGCAAGATCAGTACTCCTTGAAGCTACAGGGGTTCGTGCGCCTTTACAATAATGAGTGCGCCTCCCAATAATATAAAAAGCATAGTAGCTAAAGTACATAACACACATAATCATCATACATCTGCAGGAACCATATGGGTGGTTGTCAAAATTATGGTCCCTTTTTGGGTCCCTATTATAATACGGCACCTAATTATTATTCGGGTACCCAAAAAGGGATCCATAATTTTGACAGCCACCCACATGTTAACGAAAAAATGCCCCCCCCCCCCCTCCCAAGGCAGGAGGGTGGGCGACATCCGTGCCGCTATGCAGATCTTTCGGGTCCCTCGCTGCGTTCCCAGAGAGCCCAGTACCCCGTAATTAAGGAATATAGCTTAAATCATAATATGAAGCCCTATATAATTGAAGCCATATTCCTAAATTAAGGGGTATTGGGCTCTCTGGGTTCATGCATGAAAACGTACCTTAACCCGCTCTGAGCCGGATCCTGTAGCCGAAGACCCCGCAGCTTCCGTCGGAAGCAAAAACGGATCGGCAAAACCGGAATGTCAAGCGGGGGGAGCGTAATGTAGGGGCCTTAGTAATTAATTAGAATAGGGTTCGGGGGGACACCATATTATAATGACAATCAGGAACGCCAAAATCATATCACCTGCCCATCTGTAAGAGCTCGCGGGAGCTAGGGAATGAAACTGAATCCAAACGGTTCCTAGGTACTATGGGATACTTCCGCACATCACAGTAGTACTTCTTCCTACTATAGACACTCTACACTCTGTACAGTTCTACTATACGGGTACTATGGACCCTTTGGGGAAGTTCGCAAGATGAACCGCAACCTTCGTTCTTTGCCTGAAACCTGTGGCTTTGAACATCTGAGGATCTGCTGAAGGCATGCTGAAGCCCTGAGCCCTAACACCGAAAAACAAATGAACAATAAAACAGACTCCTTCGCAGGTTTGTGGCTTAAAGGCATTGGGTGGCTTGCGGGGTCTTGGGCTGCTTGTTTACCAGGAACCCCCAAATACCCATTGATGAATCCCTTTTTGGTCCTCAATGCTTGCGCTTCGGGTGTACACGTTGGGAGTGCCATCGTCTGTAGCTCATGAAGACTCCTACTTTCCCAGAATCCACTTAACAACAAGAGCACCTTGCATTAATGCTTTGCAGGTTGAAGAATGGGACCCCGAAAGAAGACGGAGCAAGCATACTACTGGGGTCGACTGGAGGTACTTACAGCTTACAGATCTTAGCTTCTCAAGTCAGCGAAACCCTGCTGCAAAGGGCGACTCCTTCAGAACTGCTGCTGGGCAAGGATACTGCCGAAGAAGAGTCGACACACCTTGGGGTTTCCCGAAACACTAAGCCCCTAAACCCTAAGCCCTAAACTAAGGGACCCTTAGATCAATCAAACTTGTGACAAATAAAGCTTTGGTAGGATTTAGCTGGGTTTTGGGCTTATGGTTTCGGGTTTGCAGGTTTAGGGCTTTGGGCTATAATGGTCTGACGCTCTGGCCTCTCCGGTTGAATGTCGGGGGAATCTTATGTAATGCATATCATTGAATACTACGGCATTCCGCTGATTTCAGCAATGTCATTCCTTGCAGCTCCTGATTATCATCACAAAGTAACCACACCAAATGCCCATCCTACTTCCCTAGACCTATGCATGTCTGCATGCACGCACATGCAGGGATGTAGGTAGGTATGCATGCATGCATGCACGGATGGTTGGATGGATGGATGGATGGATGGATGGATGGATCATGGATGGATGCATGGATGTATGTATTCATGTATGTAGTTAAGTGATTTGTTTACTTACTTCTTCAAATATGAGCAAACAGTCATCTTTAGATTGATGTTTAGCGTTTTGTTTATATCTATATCTGTAGGCCTCCTTGACTGCTGTATCCCGATTTTGGAGAAGGCATGCTGTTGGTGGTTGACGTCGCGCTGCCACGACATGCGCTCCCCACGGCTGCAAAGCGATGGCCCGATTTCGGCCGAGCTCTACCTTTTGCAGCCTTACTTGGAGGATCATGGGACTTAAAGTAAGTAGGGTTATACGTACCTGAATCAGGGTTCTAAGTGGATATATAACTATAGTTACCTTACTAATAACCCTACTTACTAAGTCTCATGATCCTCCAAGTAGACCTTCAACCCTAAACCCTATAGATCCCACTAAGGAGCCCTATAGATCCCTGTAAGGAGGCCCTTTAAGGAACCCTACTTACTAAGTTCCATGATCCTCCAAGTAGGGCCTTGCGAAACCCTGAAGCTGGAGACCTCAAAACCTTCGAGGAGTCGCTGGCTCCTCTAAAGGTTTAGGGGTTTAGGGGTTTTGGGGTTGAGGGTTCAGGGCTTCAGGGTTTAGGGTTTAGGGGCTAGACCTAAGAGTACCCTAGGAATGAAAAGGGTGCCCTTTTTGGTTTAACGGGGCTTATAAGGGAACCTGAACCCTAAAAAAATGGAATAAGGGCCTACTCCAGGTCCTAGTAAGGGAGTTTCCGAAAATCAGGGGTACCTTCTTTTGGGGTCCTTATAATAAGGATCCTACTGCTTAAGGTTTTAGATTAGGGTCCCCTAGTTTGGGAAATCCCCATAACGGTTCTATGAGGTTTGCATTAAAGGTTCGATAATAACTTTATTTAGGGTTTAGGGTTTGGGTTTTGGGTTTAGGATCTAGGGTTTAGAGCTAATAACGTCATAGAACGGGGCTTGTAACTACAAGAAGGAAGCCAAGTAACAGTTTTGCCAAGTCCCTTATACCCTAAACGCTGAACCCTAAACTAAACCATCAAGACCCTCATAATACAGCTGAGGCCGGAACAGGGTACGCCAATCAGCTCCTCCAGCTTAGACCACGGCCTCAGGTGAACATAGCTCTAACCCTAAGGCCTAAGGGTCCATGTATCCAAACAGTATATACTTTGGCCCCAAAGTACCTAGAAAGGGACTACTGCGTTTTTCGAGGGGGCCCTTATGGCCCTGATCATACGTAGTGGGTATTTGGGGTATATTGGAGGGTAGTTGGGGGGTCTAGGCAACCCACACCGTCTTCCTTAACCCTGAACCCTCTTAACGTCCACTCTTACCCATAAACCCAGTACTCTAGACCCAAGAGAAACCTAGGAATAAAAAGAGTGCCCTTTTTGGTTTAACGGGGCTTATAAGGGAACCTGAACTCTAAAAAAAGGGAATAAGGGCCTACTCCAGGTCCTAGTACCCATAAACCCAGTACTGCTCGCCTTCCCACTGGTTCGGGTCTTGCTGCGTTCCTGTGCTAGTGGTCCACTGCTCGCTCCAGAGGGTGCTGTCGTCGTTGGCGTCCGGGTAGCACGACCATCCACTGTGGTCGTAGCCGCTGTCTTCTTGCTCTGGCGGCACTTCGCTGTTCTCGGCTTCCTGAGCTTTTCCTGTGGCTTCTAGGATTCCATGTTCTCTAGGTCTTTTGCGTTTTCCCATCTTCCTGTCTTCTTAAAGTGCTCGATCTCGGCTCTCCACACGGTGGCGCCTTTGGCAAAGTGGCTGAAGTTCTCGCCACCTTTCTGGTCTGCGCTCAAACACTTGTAGAGTCCTAGGTCCTTGTTGTAGGCCCACACGTAGCCTGTCTCAACAAACGTCACACAGTTGTTGTAGCCTTTTCCTGTTGTGTTTCCTTTCTTGGACTTTCCTTCTCGTTTCTTTCCTTCTTCCTGATTCTGCCCTAAACTAATACACATACTTATACAAACAGCAAGATAGCCTTCTTATGATTGAGTTTTACTACGACCAGTAGCTTTGGAAGGTCCGGGCTTGGGATTTGGGCTAAGCAGTGAGGGTCCAGGGTTCAGAATTTAGGAGTTTGGGGTGTCATAAGGCTTAGGGCCTGGGGCTTATACTGTTCACGCGGGGCCGGGCCGCAGGGGGAGGCGTGGGCCGCACACAAATCAGCCTATTATGCTTTTTTGACTAGGATACCCAGTAACCTAAGAATAAAAAGGCCTCTCTTTTTGGTATTGGGTAACTTTATAAGGAACCTAGGACTACAAAAAAGGAATAAGGGTACTACTGGGCATCCTAGTTGAGGTGTCTTGCTGTTGTTTTTGTTTTCTATCGTGTTTAAAGGGTCTGGGATGCAATCTGCTTCTCAGAAATCTCGTATGGCAAAGAAAGAGGCGTGCTGGCCTTGCTGGGCATTGTGTCGGGTTCAGAGTAACGGAATGTGATTGAGCTCCACACTTCCCAGGAGTTCATGGCCTAGTAATCAAAATGTATTCGAGGGTAGAAATGTGGACGCGCGTTAAAAGGGGGTTCTGTTCTGGCCTCATGCGCGGCAAGGCCAGAACCTCCTGTACCGTCCACAAGAAAAGAACTAAAACCCTCAATGCAAGGGAGGCTTCACAAGAGCGTCTCACGAGAAGGAAACCGAGCTTCACAGTATAACACACACACACACACATAGATAGACAACACACACACACACGCGCACACACCCGGGGTTAAACACACACACACACACACACAGACACACACACACACACACAGACACACACACACACACAGACAGACGAACTCAGGTTTAAGCTAAGCATGACATAGCCTGTATAAAAGCTGAAACTAAGCATGCGAGACATTCTAGGACGCACGTGTGCAGCCGCAAATCCCAAATCCCCAGACAGGAAACCCCAAAACCAACCCCTAATATCAAGTCACTATAGGGGCCTGAGCAGTTTCAGAAGGGTTTGGAGGGCAGATAGTAAGTGTTCTCATCAACCACCCCTTAACCCGAAATCCTACAGAAAACAACATAATACGGGCTCCAATCCTAAGCCCCATGTTACCTCTCTTCCAAGTGACGTGTCTGCTGGCGGAAGCAAGGCATCCACATTTGTCTCCCGAGGCTCTCCTCAGAGCTTTCGGGTTTTGAAGCTTTCGGGCGGGTTTGGGGTTTAGGGGTTCAGGGACTTACGGTGCAGGGCATAGGGTGTTAGATGGAGCTCTATAGGGCTCTACGGGATTTTAGGTGGTGTTATAAGGGTCCTAGAACGTCTATAGGAGCTTCTTTGAGGTCTTCTGAAACCCTAAACCCTAAACCGTTCTTGTCGGGCCGAGGGTCTTATACTGCCTATAGGGTCTTATAAGCCGAAGGGTCCAAGTACCAAACTATCATATACTCTCCCGAATAGTAACCTACAAAACTACTATCCTGAACCCAAGTACCTGATTATAGGGTCCTTTGGGCCCTTAGGGTAAGGGTCAGTGTCTTGGGAAGCCTTGTGCGATTGTCTGGGGTTTTGGCTTCTTAGGTGCAGGGCTCTGGGTTTCGGGATTCTCCGATTTCTTGAGGACTAACCTGTACTCAGCCCCACTTTTTTGGTGAGCCCCTTACAGGTTCTGTATTCGGGTTTATTATACCCAGAGGGTCCAAGTACCCAAAGAGTAGGGTTTTAGGGCCCAAAATCCATACTCTGAATGGTTTCTGGACCTTGAAACCCTACTATTTGGGCACTTGGACCCTTCGGGATAATAACCCACAAAATGTTTCAGGCTACGCTAGCATCATCCGGCGGCCTTGCAGGGCCGACATGTTCGAGCCTTTCATGCCGAAGAACACCGAGGCCCTAAACCCTAAACTCGGAGGCCTCAAAAGGTGGGATGAAGGTAGGTAGGATTAAGGATCCCTTATATAAGGACTCTTATCTGGGAATATCCCACCTACCCCCTAAACCCTAAACCCTAAACCCTAAACCCTAAACCCTAACCTTTTGAGGCCTCCGATAAACATCCCGAAACCTTTTGGGGTGTGGGGTGTCGGGCTCCCAGCGCAGCCAAAGGGGCCGTCGTCTTTGTCTTCTTTCTTCTCCTTCTTGTCCTTGTCCTTCTTCTCCTGCTCACAGTATCCGCAGTACTCTATGTAGAGCTCCTTATATCAAAAATCTCTACAACATACTGAGGATTCTGCTGTTTCGGTGTCCTTATAGAAAGTAAGGATCATACACACGGTTTAGGGCTCAGGGCAAAGGAACCATCAAACCTACACTAACTTACACGGCAAACCTGGCCAGACAACCTAACGGCCTGCAGCCCCAAACCTGCTTACAGTAGAAGCCAGAAAGTTGGAATATGAGTATCCTAAGCCCTTTATAGTAAATTATAGGGTATCCTACCCTGAAACCATATTCCAACTTTCTGGAGTTCCCTTTATCACAAAACCTTGCCATGACCGGTCGATCGCCTTGCTTGGGCTTCCGGAAGACTGTTTAAGGGTTTCTAGGTGGGGCTTTTAAAGCCAAAAAATATTAGTAGGTAAGGTCCTCTTAAGCCCAATAAGGGAAAATATAAAATGTCCCAAAGCCCTACCTAGGTTTAGGGTTTAAGGGTTTAGGCTTTAGAGTTAGGGGTTCACGGCGATCTCGCCGGACCAGACCAATCGGCATTCACTGATATAGTGTCCCAAAGACTACTTCGCAAGATCCTTCCTTGGGGCTCCTTATTGTGGTTACGGTTGCATAGTATGGCCCCTGTCTTATTTAACGAATCCTTATAGTAGCCGGCATAGAACCTTTTCAAGACCTTGAAGGAACCCTACTCTAACATCTCAGTGCAGCCACTTTATTGCACCGGATCATCACTGGGATCCCGGTTTCACATATCAGCCAGTGTGCACCTATTAAACCCTGAATCCTAAAACCTTAAATCCTATAAACCCAAACCTCTAAACCCTAATACTCTCTGGGCCAGAAACCCCGCCAAGGTAGCTCAAGGGTAAGACGCTTAGAGCCCTCTAACACCTGCACACGTTCAGGGATTTAGGGCTCGGGGCCTTAACAAGTAGAGCCCTTTAACACCTGCACATGTGGCCCTAATAATTACAACAGGGTTTTCGTGTACATTATATCATAATTAATCGCAAACAGGGACACCCAAGATGGTATTGGTAATGATTGGGGCCCCTATATTAGGGCTCGGGGCCTCTGCGAAATCCGAGACTTCCTACGCCTCCAGCGCATTGTCTGCGCGTCAACGTTGCCAAATTCCTGGTTCACACCTACCTTGGGGACCAAATGGCCCTCATAAGTAGTGGTCCTATACCCTTATACTGTGAATCCCTATAAGGTATATGAACCTTAAAACCTTTTGAGGTTCATTTCGTCCTTAAGGTAAGGTTTACCTTAACCTACCAAACCCTACGTGTTGTAGGTTCTTATGATAAACTCTAACATGGAATTTATAGGGACCCTACGTTTTTTTGTAGGTTTTGGTAGGTTAAGAAACCCTAAACCCTAAACCCTAAACCGGTAGGATTTAGGGTTTGGGAGTATAGTCGATAAACGCTGGACTGGACAGTCGCTGTCCTTTTTGTCCTTCTTCTCCTTGTCTTTCTCTTCTTTGTCCTTCACCTGGTGCATCGCTACTAGACCTAAGAGTACCCTAGGAATGAAAAGGGTGCCCTTTTTGGTTTAAAGGGGCTTATAAGGGAACCTGAACCCTAAAAAAAAGGGAATAAGGGCCTACTCCAGGTCCTAGGCTAAGGGCGCGAAATACCTACAAACGAAGCCCCGAAGCAACGCTGGTTGAATCCCAATCGCTAAACCCTAAAGCCTAAACAAAGGGGTGTTGGGCTCTCTTGGAAGTCTTCACAGTCTAACTACTCATGGGACTGAGGGCGCTTGGGGCTGTACTTGGGTGTAGAATCAGAACAACTGTAGATCAGCTTCTTCGAGAGTGTTGAAGATTGTATGTTAAGTATCATAGGAACTGTAGGATAGCATATTGGGGAGGTATTTGGGCCTTTACAGTCAGCTTTCGCCACCTCTCCGTTTCAGGGTTGAAGACTTCACTGACTTTTGCACCGAGGTGTGTGTCCCAGAGGCTCCAATGTCCCTTAATCAAGGAATATTCCATATTTTTTAGTAAGATCCCTTATATGATTTAAGGAATATTCCATAAATTTTAGTAGGATCTCTTACATGATTTAAGGAATATTCCTTAATTAAAGCATATTGGAGTCTCTGGGGTGAGCTTTTTGAGCCTTTCGGGGCTTCGTGTCCCTAAAGCCTACCCAGAGCCTCCAAAACCCCTTAATTAAGGAATATGCCTTAAATTATAATAGGATCCCTTATATGATTTAAGGTATATTCCCTAATTAAGGGGTTTTGGGGGCTCTGCGTAGGTGCGGCATTACATGGGGGTTTCCGATAATTGGGGGTTCCTTATTTGGGGGGTCCTTATAATGACATTTGGGAGTTTCCGAAAATTGGGAGTACCTTGTTCTGGGTTGCCTATAATAAGGATCCTACTATTTAGGGTACTATATTCGGGTCCCCTATTTTCGGAAACTCCCATTTGAGAGGGATACTATGCGTGCATACTCAGACCTCTACATTGGGTCTACAAGTGGGCCTTCGCTGCTCAACTCCTGCACTCTACCCCTGAACTTCCCTAAACAGCTAAACCCGAAACCCTAAACCCTAACCAAAATCCCACGTAACCCACCCTTTTAAAGACTTATATAAAGAAATCATATTAGGGAACCCTAAAGAGGTAGGTTTTTTTTAGGGTCCAGGTAACCAAAACCCCTGCACCCCAAACAAAGGAAACTGTCGGTCCTCCTTCCGGGGAGACTTGGGCCCCTTCATTACGTAGTTTTTGGCATCACCTGCAGGAAAGCGTCGGGGCGTCGTTGATGATATAAATCCCGCATTTCCTTAATGACCCTAGACTGTGGGAATTGTGGTATATTCCTGATTATGGGTCATGCACGGCTTATACCATCAACCGTATTATGCGCCTGAACCGCAAAATTACTTATCCCTTCGTTGGATATCGTGTGAGGAAATCATCATACGGAGCTGCTACAGGTACGGCTTTGCACAGCTGGAAGAGCAGTTAGAATCAGTTAGAAGCTAGAGTTTCATGATCATCCTACCGTTTTTCCGGCTCAAGGGCTGTTCAGGCTCAGACCCAAAAACAAACACAAGGGTATGTAGCAGCCGCTGGGGAACCCCCATACAAACCTCAAAGGAACCCATGAACGGACGCTCTGGGATACCAGAGGAGGCCCTTAAAGAAACCTCTGGACAAACTCTACACCCCGAACCCTAAACCTTCAAACCCGAACACCTGAACCCCACCCTCAACCCCGAATCCTAAATCCCTCAAACCCCAAACCCTAAACCTTAAACCCCTAAACCCCTAAACCCTTAAATCTTAAACCCCTAAACCCTAAACCCCTAAACCCTTAAACCCCTAAACAAAGCGTCAACGACTGCACCGGCCTCCCAGGCGCCCAAACTCGTCTGTCCGCACCTTCCGAGTTTTGGGCTTTCGGGCTTTGGGCTTCTTAGGGGTTTTAGGGTTTGGGTTTTAGGGTATAGGGTTTAGGGCCTGGCTATTTTGGGGGGGGGGGGGGGGAAAATTACCTACTTGTCGGGTATCATGGGGAACTAAAGGTTAACCTTTTTGGTTATGTAGGGATTATATAGGGGCTATACTACCCAAAAAAGGTTAAAGGTTACCTACTCTACTAGGATGATACAGCCTTCGGGTCTAAGGGTTTGGCGGATGTGGGTTTTGGATTTAGGGAGCTTTGGTACATAGGATCCTTAAGGGAGGGTGGTTCAAGGGGGGGACTGTAAGGGAACCTTAGGGAGTACTAGGGAGAATTAGGGATCACTAGGCTATATACCCCCCTTGGACCCCCCTCCCTTAAGGATACTACAAGTACAGCGCTACAACCAGAGATGTTTTAGTCTTGTGGTCGGTCTGGGTGCTTTATCTTTCTAGGCCCGGTAGAGGGACATAAAGCCAACCAAAACATCTAGATGTACTTTATTATAGTGCAAATCTTAGCGACACCGTAAACCCTGAACCTTAAATCCTGAAGCCCCCAAACTTTGCGAGGTTAACCTATACATCCCGAGTATAACCACAAACCCTGTGCCGCTAACGCATAGCTTCGCAAGATTTTGGGTTTAGGGTCCAGGGGTGAGGTCCAGGGTCTGTCTAGAGTTTAGGGGTTGGGGCCTGGGGGTCAACTATAATTACTCCATGCAGACTATTCTTCCTGAACTTCTTGGAACCTTATAGAAACCCTTCTACAACCCTAAACCCTTTAAACCCTAAAACCGTATACAACCCTAGCCCTAACCCCCAAGCTCTGCCCTCCCCCCCGGCCAGGGCAGCGATGATGGGAGGTAGTTCTTGCGTCGACATCCTCATCAATCCCTTGCCTTGGCCGTGCTTAGACTTCGCTAGGGCTCCTGTTTAGGGCCCCTCTTAAGGACTATGAGGGCTCTATAGGGGGATAATCAAAACACCACCAACTATAGCTTTGGTATATGGCCTGTAGAAACATGGAGACGACTTAATGCTGGGTCACTACCAGGCCTCTGCTCTGTTCCTCTATGGATGCCTGCGATGGTGACTGTAAGGGCGCCTATCAGGGTTCTAGGTTTCCAGGGCCGGGGTGGAACTTAGTTTTGCTGGTGGGCTTAGAGGTGTGAGGATTCAACGAATGAAGGAGTCTAGTAGATTACAGTTTTAGACGTTTGGGCTAAACTTGCGCAGTGGCTGCCGGCTAGTCCTCACAGCTCTTGAAACCGAATCCCTAAATCAACAGAACTTTGCGCCTGCTATTCCCTCTCCCCATCCATCCATCCAGCCAGCCACCAGCCATCCATCCAAAACATCCATCCATGCATCCATCCATGCATCCCTCCCTCCCCCTCGCCCCACATACTCAGACAAACATACAAACATAAACCCGTGCATGCATACATGCATGAATACTTACATACATACCGACATACATACACAAGAATAGTCTGTATGTGTACAGGCACAGGACTAAACACACGAATAGACATGCATGTAAAACTATGTGGATGTAGGACGAGTATCTGTGCGTGCCTCAAGGGAAGTCGGGGAGAGGGACAGAAGCAGTCAGAAAAAAACCTGCTCTGCAGCTTAAGTTTGCAAGATGGCTAACCCGAAATCCTACTACACCTCTACTTGAAGGATCATGGGACTGAGTAAGCAGGGTTACAAGTAAGGTAACCATAGTTATATCTACTCATAACCCTGATGAAGGTTACCTATAACCCTACTTACTAAGTCCCATGATCCTCGAAGTAGACCCTAAACCCTAAACCCTTATAGTAACCCTTTAAGGGACCCCTTGAAAGGCACCCCTTTCTTACTAAGTCCCATGACCCTCCAAGTAACCCGAAGCGCCAAACTCAAACCATCCCAAACCCTGGACCCTCCCGAACCCAGGGCCCCAAAAAAGCACATAAGCAAAAATTAGGGTTTTGGGTTTAGGGTTTAGGGTTTAGGGATATCCCATATAAACCCCCTTATACAGAAGCCCAATATGATAGGGATATCCCCATAAAAGGCTTATGCTTATGTGCCTTTTGGGTCCCTAAGAACCCTACACCCCGAACCCTGACAGACCCAGGCACATACCTTTTTGAACGGTAAGCCTGAACCATAGCAGAAAAAAAAGACACAGGCGCTAAGGTACAAAGAGGACCGTTTTCGAACCCAAGACTCCCTAAACCCTCGTAGAAACAGACAGATGTGGGTGGTTGTCAAAATTAGGGTCCCTTTTTTGGGGTACCTTAAATTTTAAGGTGCCGGAATATAGTAGGGACCCAAAAAGGGACCATCATTTTGACAACCACCCAGGTACCTCTTCGAACCCCGCAGCTCCCCAAAGCCTCATGGAAATACCGCAAAAAACCCAAAACACGGGACCCCGAACCCTCTTTGAGGGTTTAGGGTTTAGGGTTTAGGGTTTTTCTTTGATCCCTGAAACCTTAGCCCTAATAGACAAAAATCCCTACACCCCAAACCCACTTTGATCCCTAAGACCTAAGCCCTGTTAGACAAAAATCCCTACACCCCAAACCCACCGTTTTGATCCCTAAAGCTTAGCCCCAGAAGACAAAAAGCGCTACCCCCCAATTCAACTTTGATCCCTAAAGCCTAAGCCCTGTTAGACAAAAAGCGCTACCCCACAATTCAACTTTGATCCCTAAAGCCTAAGCCCTGTTAGACAAAAAGCGCTACCCCCCAATTCAACTTTGATCCCTAAAGCCTACGCCCTGTTAGACAAAAAGCGCTACCCCCCAATTCAACTTTGATCCCTAAAGCCTAAGCCCTGTTAGACAAAAAGCGCTACCCCCCAATTCAACTTTGATCCCTAAAGCCTAAGCCCTGTTAGACAAAAAGCGCTACCCCCCAATTCAACTTTGATCAATAAAGCCTAAGCCCTGTTAGACAAAAAGCGCTACCCCCCAATTCAACTTTGATCCCTAAAGCCTAAGCCCTGTTAGACAAAAAGCGCTACACCCCAATTCAACTTTGATCCCTAAAGCCTAAGCCCTGTTAGACAAAAAGCGCTACCCCCCAATTCAACTTTGATCCCTAAAGCCTAAGCCCTGTTAGACAAAAAGCGCTACCCCCAATTCAACTTTGATCCCTAAAGCCTAAGCCCTGTTAGACAAAAAGCGCTACCCCCAATTCAACTTTGATCCCTAAAGCCTAAGCCCTGTTAGACAAAAAGCGCTACCCCCAATTCAACTTTGATCCCTAAAGCCTAAGCCCTGTTAGACAAAAAGCGCTACCCCCCAATTCAACTTTGATCCCTAAAGCCTAAGCCCTGTTAGACAAAAAGCGCTACACCCCAATTCAACTTTGATCCCTAAAGCCTAAGCCCTGTTAGACAAAAAGCGCTACACCCCAATTCAACTTTGATCCCTAAAGCCTAAGCCCTGTTAGACAAAAAGCGCTACCCCCCAATTCAACTTTGATCCCTAAAGCCTAAGCCCTGTTAGACAAAAAGCGCTACACCCCAATTCAACTTTGATCCCTAAAGCCTAAGCCCTGTTAGACAAAAAGCGCTACCCCCCAATTCAACTTTGATCCCTAAAGCCTAAGCCCTGTTAGACAAAAAGCGCTACCCCCCAATTCAACTTTGATCCCTAAAGCCTAAGCCCTGTTAGACAAAAAGCGCTACACCCCAATTCAACTTTGATCCCTAAAGCCTAAGCCCTGTTAGACAAAAAGCGCTACCCCCCAATTCAACTTTGATCCCTAAAGCCTAAGCCCTGTTAGACAAAAAGCGCTACACCCCAATTCAACTTTGATCCCTAAAGCCTAAGCCCTGTTAGACAAAAAGCGCTACCCCCCAATTCAACTTTGATCCCTAAAGCCTAAGCCCTGTTAGACAAAAAGCGCTACACCCCAATTCAACTTTGATCCCTAAAGCCTAAGCCCTGTTAGACAAAAAGCGCTACACCCCAATTCAACTTTGATCCCTAAAGCCTAAGCCCTGTTAGACAAAAAGCGCTACACCCCAATTCAACTTTGATCCCTAAAGCCTAAGCCCTGTTAGACAAAAGCGCTACACCCCAATTCAACTTTGATCCCTAAAGCCTAAGCCCTGTTAGACAAAAAGCGCTACCCCCAATTCAACTTTGATCCCTAAAGCCTAAGCCCTGTTAGACAAAAAGCGCTACACCCCAATTCAACTTTGATCCCTAAAGCCTAAGCCCTGTTAGACAAAAAGCGCTACACCCCAATTCAACTTTGATCCCTAAAGCCTAAGCCCTGTTAGACAAAAAGCGCTACACCCCAATTCAACTTTGATCCCTAAAGCCTAAGCCCTGTTAGACAAAAAGCGCTACACCCCAATTCAACTTTGATCCCTAAAGCCTAAGCCCTGTTAGACAAAAAGCGCTACACCCCAATTCAACTTTGATCCCTAAAGCCTAAGCCCTGTTAGACAAAAAGCGCTACACCCCAATTCAACTTTGATCCCTTAAGCCTAAGCCCTGTTAGACAAAAAGCGCTACACCCCAAACCAACTTTGATCCCTAAAGCTTAGCCCCAGAAGACAAAAAGCGCTACCCCCAATTCAACTTTGATCCCTAAAGCCTAAGCCCTGTTAGACAAAAAGCGCTACACCCCACACCCACCGTTTTGATCCCTAAACCCTAAACCCTAAACCCTAAATCCTAAACCCTAAACCTCTCTACCTATAGTAATTTAAACCTTATAGTCTTCGTGGCTCTTGATCAAAACTCGTGGCTCTTGATCAAAACTCGTGGCTCTTGATCAAAACTCGTGGCTCTTGATCAAAACTCGTCTTGATCAAAACTCGTGGCTCTTGATCAAAACTCGTGGCTCTTGATCAAAACTCGTGGCTCTTGATCAAAACTCGTGGCTCTTGATCAAAACTCGTGGCTCTTGATCAAAACTCGTGGCTCTTGATCAAAACTCGTGGCTCTTGATCAAAACTCGTGGCTCTTGATCAAAACTCGTGGCTCTTGATCAAAACTCGTGGCGGTTGACGTCCCCCTAGGGTTTGGGCACTAGGGTTTAGGGCCTAGGGTTTGGGCACTAGGGTTTAGGGCTAGGGTTTGGGCACTAGGGTTTAGGGCCTAGGGTTTGGGCACTAGGGTTTAGGGCCTAGGGTTTGGGCACTAGGATTTAGAGCCTAGGGTTTGGGCACTAGGGTTTAGGGCCTAGGGTTTGGGCACTAGGGTTTAGGGCTAGGGTTTGGGCACTAGGGTTTAGGGCCTAGGGCTTGGGCACTAGGGTTTAGGGCCTAGGGTTTGGGCACTAGGGTTTAGGGCCTAGGGCCTAGGGTTTAGGGCTAGGGTTTGGGCACTAGGGCCTAGGGTTTGGGCACTAGGGTTTAGGGCCTAGGGTTTGGGCACTAGGGTTTAGGGCCTAGGGTTTGGGCACTAGGGTTTTGGGCACTAGGGTTTAGGGCCACTAGGGTTTAGGGCCTAGGGTTTGGGCACTAGGGTTTAAGGCCTAGGGTTTGGGCACTAGGGTTTAGGGCCTAGGGTTTGGGCACTAGGGTTTAGGGCTAGGGTTTGGGCACTAGGGTTTAGGGCCTAGGGTTTGGGCACTAGGGTTTAGGGCCTAGGGTTTGGGCACTAGGGTTTAGGGCCTAGGGTTTGGGCACTAGGGTTTAGGGCCTAGGGTTTGGGGGTTTAGGGCCTAGGGTTTGGGCACTAGGGTTTAGGGCCTAGGGTTTGGGCACTAGGGTTTAGGGCCTAGGGTTTGGGCACTAGGGTTTAGGGCCTAGGGTTTGGGCACTAGCACTAGGGTTTAGGGCTAGGGTTTGGGCACTAGGGTTTAGGGCCTAGGGTTTGGGCACTAGGGTTTAGGGCCTAGGGTTTGGGCACTAGGGTTTAGGGCCTAGGGTTTGGGCACTAGGGTTTAGGGCCTAGGGTTTGGACTAGGGTTTAGGGCCTAGGGTTTGGGCACTAGGGTTTAAGGCCTAGGGTTTGGGCACTCGGGTTTAGGGCCTAGGGTTTGGCACTAGGGTTTAGGGCCTAGGGTTTGGGCACTAGGTTTTAGGGCTAGGGTCACTAGGGTTTAGGGCCTAGGGTTTGGGCACTAGGGTTTAGGGCCTGGGGTTTGGGCACTAGGGTTTAGGGCCTAGGGTTTGGGCACTAGGGTTTAGGGCCTAGGGTTTGGGCACTAGGGTTTAGGGCCTAAGGTTTGGGTGACACTTGAGAGCTATGGTTGCGATCGTAAAGCGATGGCGTGACCGCAGCTTCGGCGGGTTAGGGCGATGTTGCGTTTCTTAACTAGCTCTCTTAGAAAGCTGGTCGGCAGAAATAATTTCTTAAAGTGAAGCGTGTGGCAAGAACGACTGTAAAGAAGCAGCACCTGCTTGATCGAAAGAACGAAAAGTTATGATCTGTAATAGTTGTATGTAAGTGATCTTTTAAAGATTCAAGCCAAAAGAAATAAAACTCGTAAATCTAATGTAATGGGATTCTGTGGGCGGGTGGGGTTTCTTCTGGAAGATAGCTTGACGAGAAATAGCCTGACATGAAATGTTCAAAGTCAGAGCTGCTGAACCCTAAACCCTAAACCCTAAACCCTGAACCCTAAACCCTAAACCCTAAACCCTAAACCCTAAACCCTAAACCCTAAACCCTAAACCCTAAGCCCTAAACCCTAAACCCCTAAAATCCCTAAAATCCCCTGCAGAAGCCGGGGCCAAGGGCAGACAGCAGCTGCCGTCTGCTGGCATCGAGACTCCCTCGGCGTTTCAGGGCTTAGGGTTTAGGGCTTAAGGGTTTAGGGTTTAAGGGTTTAGGGTTTAGGGTTTAGGGGTTTAGGGTTTAGGGTCTAGGGTTTAGGGGTTTAGGGTTAGGGTTTAGGGGTTTAGGGTTTAGGTGTTTAGGGGTTTAGGGGTTTAGGGGTTTCGGTTCTGTCGCCAGGATAGAAAGTCAAGCAAGCACCTAAAGATCAAATACCCTAAACCCTAAACCCCCGAAGCCAAACCCCAAACTCCAAACAGTGTAATGTCCCTTCCAGGGTAGATGTCAATAGCTTTTGTGTTTAGGCACTTTGGGGTCTCAAAGTTGCTTAGGGTCCGGCTTTATGGTTCCGAGTCTAGTTGGGCTTAGGGTTCGAAGGGCGCCGCCCCTGAACTCAGAGGTCATAACCTACATACTTATTTGTAGGGTGTGTAGCAGTTGTGGGTGCAGGTAAGCTTATTGAAAAATCATCACCTGGGTATGTGTGGCTGCTTGCGCATGTGCGTGGTGGCCCATGCGAAAGCATGTCTGCACCCACATCTTAAAGATATACCTGATTGCAGACATATCCATTCTAATCACCACATTAGAAACCGTCACATCCAAGAGTGTTGAATTTGAAAACACATCCCCGAAACGGTAGCATTCGCTCCGTGTCCACCTGTGCTTCTACACTAATATGCGTACATACGTGCATACATACACACATACATACATACATACATACATACATACATACATACATACATACACACATACACACATACAAAAATACATACATACAAAAATACATACATACATACATACATACATACATGCATGCATGCATGCATGCATGCATGCATGCATGCATACACACACACACACGTATACATATACCCTTACATATACATATATATATATATATATATGTATATACATACATGTACATTTACAAGTACATGCACATATACATACACATCTACGTATACATATACATACACACACACATATACATATACATAGACATATGCATATACATATACATATACATATACATATACATATACATATACATATACATATACATATACATAATACATATACATATACATATACATATACATACACATACGCATAAGCAAATACAAAACTATAGATGCACATGTACATGTACATGCACATGTGCATATACATATACATATGCATATACATATACATACGCATATGCATAACATATACTTATACATATCCATATACATATAAGCATATTATATATTTATACATACATACATGCGCACATTTACCACAACTCTCCCGGATGAACACAACACCCCCAGCACTAAAGCCTTACACCCCCGCATCCCAAACCCACCCACCAAAAAACCAGGCATTCCTGAACAAAACCAAACCATACGAAGGCATTCCTCATAAGATGTCAGAAGGAGTCTGGGCTGTCGGACTTGGAGGCATAGATCTTGATGTCATGTCGGAGGGTGGCCAGGAGCTCATCCATATCTTCTTTGGGATACCTTTGGGATATATCAACTTCTGGGGTTTCCTCTCTTGACGGATGAAGGATCGCGTTGAAGGGTCTCGGGATAAATCTTTTGGCGCTTGCGGATACATCGACGGATGTTTTGGGCAGTCAGGAGGTTTAGGGATTCGGAGTATTGGGTCTGTTTCCGCTAATCGGAGATGTGGCAGGGAAAGTAGCAAAGGTTGAAACCCACGCATAGAAGAGCCATGATGCACGATCCTTTCCCTAAGGGTCCAAGTACCCAAATAGTAGAGTTTCAAGGTCCAGGAACCATTCAGAGTAAGGATTTTGTGCCCTAAAACCCTACTATTTGGGTACTTGGACCCTCTGGGTTTCTCCTTGTTCTAGGCCTTCCAGGCATCCAATTTCTCATTGAGCTGTTCCAAGTTTTCTGGCTTCTACGTAATGAAAAGCCTTGTTCCAATGAACCCAATCCCCCAAAGCCCGCTTTAACCTAAACCCTAAACCCTAAACCCTAAAACCTAAACCCTAAACCCCTAAACCCTAAACCCTAAACTGTTTCTGAGGCTTCAGGGTTCGGGTGTCAGGGCGTTTCCCGCTACTTGTAACACTTTTCCACACCACGAAACGATGTCACACCTTGTGCGACCCTTACCCTAAACCCAAAACCTCTAAACCCTAGCAAGGAGGTTGGTAGCATCGGCAGAGTATCTCCCAACTCATGCCCTAATCTTGTGCAAATTCCGAGGATCAAAAGAGCACGTAGACGCAAGGGACCTGTATTTGGTGTATAAGGGGCCTTGAATTTGAGAAGGGTCCTACATTTGGAGCATAGGGGACATCAAAACCCGACCTCGCAGACCATATGTCGATATCCGTACGTTTACTATTCCGTTGCAGGCCCCATATAAGGACTGGGAGATGCACGTTTCCAGCCGGAACTCCCGACCAAACTCCTGCAGCTGCTTTTGTTTGACGGCATTTCGACACTTTTCGGTTACGCTTCAAGTTTAGGTCTTGGGTTTTTGGAGAAAGGTTCCGGATTTGGGTGTAGGGTTTCGGGGTTGGGGGTGTAACGCTTTGTGTTCCGGGTTTCGCTTGACGGCTTTTCGAGCTTATACGACCTCCGGGAAGGGTTCGTAATCCCGAGTTCCTGAAACCCTAAGCCGTTCAACAGAATCGAAAACGTAGCCATCACCATCATGGGACTTAGCAAGCAGGGTTACAAGTACCATTATTGTGGTTATCAGCACCTGATCGTGAATTAGGGCCATCCGTAGATATGACTACAGTCACCTGACTTCTAACCCTGCTTGCTAAGTCCCCAGATCCTCCAAAAGAGCCAAACACCCCTTAAGGAACATAGCCTTAAATCATAATATCGAGCCCTAGATAGTTTAAGCCAGATTCCTTCATCAAGGTCTATTGAGCTCTCTGGGCTCCAAGTAAGGTAAAAGGCTGACCGTCGCAAGGGAGACCCGGGCTACTAAGCGAAGATTGCTAATAAGGGTTAAACGGGGCACTAAGGTTACTATGCTTTGAACTACCAACACCTACCTTTTTGGTAGGGTCCCCATAGAGTCTATAATGAGTAGGGCCTATCGGCCTGTACAGAGTGTGCAACCCGCAGGAAAAGTAGGTTATGGTAGATTGCTGCCGCACGAGGGTTACTGTAAGAGTTGTGGTGTAAAGCACCGCGGTATAGACTGTACGTCGTATCAACCCACGAATGGTCGAGTCTTTTATCCGAACCTCCAACAACCAAGGTACGGCTAAATGGAAAAATCCGAAAAACAAAACGAATCTTCCTAGTCGTGTTCTCGTCATGCTCCATATCAGTGTCAAAGTCATAACCTAACAGAGACATAACGTTTACGGTGAAAGTTCATGTTGCAATGATAATTACAAACGTTTGGCCCTGCGCACCCAAACAATATCAACACCCCAAACTCCAAATCCAAAACCCAAAACCTAAACCCTAAACCCCACTGCAGAAACGCTAAACCCAAAAGCAAAGCCCAAACCCGAAACCCGAAGCCCCAATCCTGAAGTCCTTGTGGAGCCAAGAACGGACCGCTAAAGCAAACCTCAAAGGGAAGCCTACACTCTAGAATCTAGAAGGAACCTTACCCCTAGACCTTAACCCCTGTTTAAAGGAACCCTTTCTAATGACTTATAAGGCCCCTAAAATAAAACCCCCATAATACCCCTTTATGGTAATCCTTATAGAGCCCTTTAAAAGGAACCCTTAAAGGTCAGGCCCGGGCCTCGGCGTCGCTGATCCCAGCGGCCGTGAGCTCGCCTCCCCACTTCAGGCCTAGGAAACAACTGCGTTCTTGCTTCGCTGCCACCCTAACCTTGGGGACCAAATGACCCTCATAAGTAGTGGCCCTATACCCCTATTCTATGAATCCCTATAAGGTATATGAACCTGAAAACCTTTTGAGGGGTGCCAATACAGGGATCTGGTTCCTATAAGGGATCTATAGGGTTTAGGGTTCCTATAAGGGATCTAAAAAGGGTTTAGGGTTCCTATAAGGGATCTATAGGGTTTGGGGTTTAGGGAGTTTCCGAATATAGGGGTACCTTATTTGCTTCGGTGCCACCCTAAGGCTCCATGTACCCATGTAGTACATACTTAGGCCTTAAAGTACCTATATAGGGACCCCTTTAGGGCTTAAATACCTGCTATAAAGGTACATGGAGCCCGAGGGCCAATACAGGGATCTGCAAAGGTATGTTGTCTTTGGCTGTTTTTCCTACGCCCTACTCCCTGTAGAAGCTCAGACGGGTTTCAAAGATTGGGGGAATCGAGCATGGGCTTGCAATGAGGGTTTCATGGTTGAGGATATGGGTGGTTGTCAAAACTATAATCCCTTTTTGGGTAGCCTAAATATTAGGTGCCGTACTGTAATAAGGACCCCCAAGAAGGGACCCTAATATTGACAACCACCCATATCGGGTTCGGGGTGAGGGCTGTCATTCTTGTGTGCCGTTTAAGGTTCTGCTCTCCCCTTCCAAACCCTAAGATTTATAGGATCCTTAAGGGAGGGTGGTTCAAGGGGGGAGGGTATAAGGAATCCTTAGGGGACTGTAAGGGAACCTTAGAGAGAACTAGGGAGAATTAGGGATCACTAGGCTATATACCCCGCTTGGACCCCCCTCCCTTAAGGATGCTACAAAAGATTCCAAGTACCCAAATAGTAGGGTTTCAAGGTCCAGAAACCATTCAGAGTATGGATTTTGGGCCCTAAAACCCCACTATTTGATACTATTTGGGTACTTGGACCCTCTGGGAAACACAAACAAACAAACAAAATAGACCCCACCCTGCTCTGGCCCAGCAAAAATATACCTTGGCCCGAACGTACCTATATAGGGACTAGTAACGGGCCCTTGCCATAAAGGGACCCTAGATTAGAGAACCACCAACTTCGAAGCCAAAATTTCTGCGAATGCTATTCCTTAGGGTTGCTTTGTTCTGGTGAAGTTCCCAAAGTGCACAAAGTACCTATATAGTAGAATGTAGTTGTAGTGTTTCTATTTGAGGAATTACTATTATGATTTTGGGTATATAAGTAACCCTCCATATCAGTATTTAGGCCCCTTCGGGGTTCTATTCCAGCCCCCACCCAGAGAACCCAATACCCCTTAATTAAGGAATATACTTTAATTAAATCATAAAATGAAGCCCCCTATAATTTTAGGTATATTCCTTAATCAAGGAGTATTGGGATCTCTGGGCTAAACCCTAAACCCTAAGCCCTAAAACAAGTCACGACATTTAGCGATCTGAGGTTTTGGCCGATGACCAGCCGCCCCTCCTCGCAGCCAACTTTCGCGTGGAACGTTGCTCCTGAGGGGTTTGGGGCTTAGGGTTTAGGGGAGGGTTCCTTTAAGGGTTCCTTTAAGGGATCTATCAGGATTCCTTGAAGGGATCTACACCGCAATCTTTAGACTTGGGGTTAGAGCTTAGCAGATTCAGGGGTGTGGTGTCTCGAGGTTTCTACAAGAACTCTTTTTGAGTTTCATGGAAATTGGTCTAGATGTCTAGGGCTGTTAGCCGGGCTTACGGATCTAGGGTTTCAGGGTCTTAGCATAGTATAGCACTGCGGGGTTAGGATACTGGGAGGATTTGCGATCCAGTAGCTAGCCTAAGGCCCTAAAGCTGTTCCTTGTTGGGGTTCATATTTAGAATCCTATTAGGTAATCCCGAAAAGGAACTACTTTGGGGCCTCTGGGTAGCAGCCAGGGGCTCCATGAGCATAATGATCCACATAAACTCACTACCCCAATAAGCCACAGAAATGAAGGGTTGAACTTGCCGATTCCTGCTAAAGTATGTAAGAACCCAAAAACTTTAAAGGTTAGGTATTGGGGATTTGGGGATCTAAGTCATCCGAAGTTTCAGTGCCATTGCAGACGATACTCGAAGTACAGCCCTTCCTCTTAGCCCTAAACTGTTCGTTTGATCGTTCAAACGGGCTGGCTGGGGGGAGTCCTACATGACGAAGCAACCATCACAAACTCCCCTAGTCTCCTTTTAAGGGTTCCTTTAATTCAGGGCTCCTTCTAAGGGTTAATAAAGGGACCTAAACACTAAAACATAAAACCTAAACCACTCCTAAACCCTGAACCCTAGACCTTAGTTTCAGGTACACCCCAAGGCCCTGCCTTCTTTGCTGATGCAGTCAAGGGCATCGGTCAAAGAGCCGACATCGTAGCCCTGATTCTTCAGCGACCTTTCGGATGCGTGCTTTAGGGGCTTTAGGTTTTAGGGCTTGGGGTTTTAGGGATTAGGGGTTAGGATTTAGGGTTTTAGGGTGTAGGATTTTTTCAACGACCTGTTCCTTTCACTGGTTACTAAAAGCATTCTGATGTTTCGGGGCCTTCATACTTAGAATAGGGTTTGGTGGTATGTTCTATGCTAATTAAAACGAGGATTCCAGAAAGAAGAGTATTGCTCATGACTCAGCCTTCTAGATTAAGGTTTCGGATACCCTTCAGCAACTTTTCGGCTCTTTCCTCATGATGTACTAACTCTGGGTCACGAGAGAAGGACACAACAGGCAAGCACAAGAAGCTCTCGGTTGGAAGGGCCGTTTAAGCTGTTCAGGGCTCACCCTAAACGCAGGGCTTCGCTGGGAACCCTGCAAAATTACATGTTTTTATGCTTTGGGGACCTCCATCAATCATCTGCAGACTGTGCGGCTCTCTTCCAGGCTTCAGATTTGGCGTGGAGGTTGAAGTTCGAACTCTCCGATTGGCATGCTAAGTGACTCAACGTGGGCTCGCTAGGTGGCTTGGGCGCTAGAGAGGCCCTCAACCCTTGAACCCCCGAGCTCCAAAACTTCAGGCCCACAAACCCTAATTTCAAGCCTTTTGCCCCAGCCCTTACAACCCCTGCAAACTACAAGCACTTTGAAATACGTGAAGCAACCAAAGCCAATGCTTAAATCCCGTAAGCCCAAAATCCCAAACCCTGAACTCCGCACACCCCTAAACCCCTGAACGCTAAACCCAACAAACCCCTAAACCCTAAAACCCTAAAACCCTAAACTCCTAAACCCTTAACTCCCAAACCCCTAAACCCTAAACCCTAGACCCCTAAACCCCTCAACCCCTAAACCCCTCAACCCCTAAACCCCTAAACCCTAAACCCCTAAACCCCTAAACCCTAACACTCCTTAACTCCTAAACCCTAAAACTCCTTAACTCCTAAACCCTAAAACTCCTTAACTCCTAAACCCCTAAACTCAGAAACCCGACCCGAAACCCAAACATCCGCTTCTGCCCGCAAGGGCCTCGCTGCATCCTGGAGTCGCACCAGCCTCGGTTTTCTAAGAGCTTAAATCCCAGAGGCTCCAAATATAGTACCATTTTGGAATTAGGTCCCCAAAGCCATGATATGGATGGTCTTTTGGGACCTAATTCCATAATGGTACTATATTTGGAGCCTCTAGGAATCTAGGAATCAAAGGAAAAAGGAGGGACTCTTAATGGGGACCCCTACCCTTTCATGGGCCATATAATGGGTATATAATAGCTATATTAAGGGTGTATACCTAGGGGTCCTTATTAAGGGTCCCTCCTTTTACCCTTGGATAAACCTAATCCCTAAACCCTAAACCAGGCTTTTGGGTTTACCAGGACGCTCCAAAGTACCCTTAATTGTGGGGATTTAAGGTATAGTAGAGGGTAGTTGGGGGTCTAGGTAGGGCTTCCGGGTTGAAAGTTTGGGGTCTAGGGTTTGCTGTGCAGGGGGTAGGGTTCTAGGCTAAAGGGGCCTGTTTAGGCCCTGCTACGCTACTCTGAGGGTTACGAAAACAGGCTATGGGATCTATGGCTAAGTAGTCTCGGGAGAAGAGGCTTAGTTTAGGGTTTGTGGTTGTCGGATTTGGGGTTTGGAGTTGGTCGGTTATTAGTGTTTAGAGTAGATGGACATCTACCGAAGAAGCATATTACGTAGATTCTGACTTGCAATGACTTACGGCCTCTTCTGGTTTCCTTAAATTCTAACCCTATCATGAAAATAACAACCTGTGCGCTAAGTCCGTCGATCCGACATAGCCCACATGCCAATAAACCGAGACCCCAGTTCGTTAAACCCCTAAGCATTGAAACCCCACGCCTGAAGCCAGTTTCATCTAAGGTTTAGGCAAGGCCGCGAGAATCAAACCTAAACCCTAAACCCACGGAACACATACTAACCCAAAGTGAAACGGTCACCAAACAGTCGTCTTAACACTCATATGCAACAGTTAGTGGCTGACAATCGCACGTCAGAAAAGTGGCCGTAAGAATTAGATATTCTGGTTTATTTATGCGGGGGCCATGAGGGTCAAATTTTGAACGTAACCTCATGAAGAGACCTTAACGTTTTGACCCAGGATCTATGTGCTTACAGCTTAGCTTTTACAAATTTGTGCGATTTAGATTGCCTACCTAGGGAGTAGGGTTACGATGAAAAGTCCCGCCATTTTGGTATGGGAGTTTCCGAAAATAGGGGACCCTAACATAGTACATGAAATCGTAGGATCCGTATAGTTACCCCTAATTTTCGGAAACTCCCATATGGCGACAGGCAGTCAAAAATGGAGTAAGGTTTCGGGCTCTGGGTTGTCCTGATCTGAAAAAGCCCGAATCCGAAGATGCTGACACCATCTATGTGTTCCTTAAAGGGTTCCTGAAAAGGGTTCTGTAAGGACAATCCCACACCCTAAATGCTGAGCCTAAGTCCTAGCCCTGTACCCTCAACCTCTAACCCTAAAGCCCTAAACCCTAAACCCTAAACCCTGAAACCCTAAAACCGGGGCACTGCTTCTTGGCGCGGAGTTCGAGGCCGCGTGGATTTCCCTTGGGAGGACCGGGCGTTTCGGGTGGACGGGAGCGGGCCTTCCGCGGGTTTAGAGTCTACTTAAAGGATCAGGGGAGTTAGTAAGTAGTGTTGTAAGTAAGCTAACTACAGCTGTATCTACTCATGACCTTGATTAAGGTACTTATAACCCTACTTACTAAGTCCAATGATCCTCCAAGTATGGGGTTCAGGGTTCAAGGCTTTTTTGCGGGGGGTTTGGGGTTTGGGGTTTCCAGGTTGACCGTGTTTTCACCCCGTCACAGAAAGGTACTTTGAGGTCACCACCCAGAGAGCCCACTACCCCTTAGTTGAAGCATATTCCTAAACATCATAGTATGCTAGTTTTTCCCCCTTATGAAAGGAGTGTGGGGCTCCCTGAACATTAAACCGCTAAGCCGCAAACACACACGTACGATCAAGGGTTGCATTCGGGTTTAGGACTTAGGATTTCAAGGACGTAGTGTTCAAAGGGCAGGTTACTTGGGTTTTTGGTTCAGGTTCTTGGAGTTGGTGCCTCAAAGTTGAACTTGTCGCATCTGTATTGTCGTTGTCTCTAAAGTAGGAACCTGATAAAGAAACCCTGGGCCTATAACCCCAAAATAGTAGGATTGATATTAGGAGCCCTAATACAGGCCCCAAGTTTCTTCTTAATCAGGTTCCTGCGTTAGTGCCCTGGTTTTACAGCTGGATGTCTGCAACCTGGCCATGGAGCTAACATAAACCCTAACTTTACATAACTTACAGCTAACCACCCAGAACCTACTTTTCTGTGGGATCCCTGCAAACTCCATACTAGGGTGTATAATAAGACCCTACAAAAAAAGTAGGTTTTCGTAGTTTCGATCTCAAACATTGCATCCTGCAGCTGGAACTCTAAACCCTCTATCCGAAGTCCCCAACTATGTTCTAAAGCCTCATTCCGACATCCTACAGGGAACTCCAGAAAGTTGGAATATGGTTTCATGGTAGGATACCCTATAATTTACCATAGAAGGGTTAGGATAATCATATTCCAACTTTCTGGCTTCTACCTTAGGTCCTGGACCCTAAAAGCCCGTCAGCCTGCAACCGCGAAACTCCCAATCCTCCATCCTAAACGCTAAAACCCTAGACTTACATCCTAGACCCTCCTGCTTCTTAGGGTTTAGGGTTTAGGGATTATAAGGGTTTAGGGTTTAGGGTTTAGGGTTTGCTCCATGTACCCATGTAGTATAAACTTAGGCCGTAAAGTACCCAAATAGGGGCCACTTTAAGGCTTAGGTATCTACTATAAAGGTACATGGAGCCTTTGAGTAAACTAACATCCTAGACCCTCCTGTGAATACCAAACCCTCAACCGTAGAAGAGCACCAAGCCCCCTAGACCCTAAACCCGAAGCCCTAAACCCTAAAACCCTTAATCCTATAACCCTAAAAACCCTAGCCCTAGCATTTCCTGTACCCCAAATTCCAAAGCCCAGTAAACCCTAAGCCCTTTTATAAAAACCCCGGAAGCCCTCCATCCCCGGAGGCTTTCAACTGCAGAAAGCTTGGGCCAAGACCAGGATGTCCTGCAGTGGCCCACAAGTTTGGGGTTTACGATTTAGGGATTCGTGGCTTTGGTTAAAATTAGGGTGTTCCGGGTTTGGGGTTTAAGGGTACTTATTTGCTTACGGGTTCCTTTTCGGGGTCTCTTGAGTTGCTTAGGACGTTTACGGTTTGCGGTCTGCGGCCTCGGTGTTTAGCGCTTCCAGGGTTCAACTCGAGGCATTTCGGACTTTCTCCGGTTTCGGTCGCGGTACCTGGGGTGCAGGGCTTGAATCCGCGAAATCTTTCTGATACGGTTCGGAGTCCCTAACCCCAAATCCTAAACCCGACTCTCGGGACTCGTTGGGGAGCCTTCAAACCTTTCTTGAGCTACTAGGATACCCAGTAACCTAAGAAAAAAAGGCCTCTCTTTTTGGTATTGGGCAACTTTATAAGGAACCTAGGACTACAAAAAGGGAATAAGGGTACTACTGGGCATCCTAGGCTAAATGTTCGGGTGTTTTGATAGGAACACCGACAAAGGCTCTGAAGGCTGAGCCCTGGGATTTCCAGGTTTTGTTTAGGAATTTGATTCAAGCTGCCATACTGCGAAACTGTATTACGCACTATAGATCCCTATTTTGGAAACTTATGCTAAATTCCTTGACAAGACGCCTGAAAAGGCTTTCACTTCGCAGCGTGCCAAGCCCTTCCAGTGGAACACGGTCACAGCCATCGGACAAACATGAGAAAACGAGGCACATACTCGTAACAACAAAAATTCTGCAAAGATTCGGTCACTGAAAAAAAACGCGACATTAACATAAGCTGTGTAAACCCCGTTCAAGCCCCAGCAAGAACCCGCCGCAACCGTATCAAACAGTATGAGCCCTAAAAACCCCATGAAGCCCTGCAGTGCCACACGGGAAACTTATCCACCCCTTACGGGCTGAACGCCGCAGCCCAAAAACGGTCAACCCTCTCATTCATCGTGGTAGGAAGTATTTACCGAAAAAACATGAAATTCTGCCTTCCATTACCTACCCTGAGGCTCAACTCGAAACCCTAGACCCAGAATCCTGAACCATATATACCCTGAACCCCAATACCCTACATCCCAATACCCTACACCCTAAGACCCTAAATTAATTCGAAACCCTGAACCCTGACCTAAACCCTGAATCCTGAACCAGAAACTCTAGACCCTAACCCCACCCTACTACCCTAAACTCTAAACCCTGAACCCTTGCAGGGACCCCATATAAGAATCCCTAGGGGCTGCTGCTCTTTTGGTACCCTAAACCCTAAACCCCTACACCCTGAACCCCAAAACAAGATTAGACCCCAAACCCCCCAAACCCATAAACCCTTATAGATCCCTTAAAGGAACCCTTATAGATTCTAGATCCCTTGATGGAACCCTTTTAATACCCTTTAAAGGAACAAGTTTAGACCCCCCAGCAAGCCGTCCTCGGGTCCGACCATGTCACCCTGGAGCCATCCCAGAAGCCTTTGCCGTAGGGCTTGGGGCTTACAGAGGTTTAGGGGTTCAGGGTTTGGGGGTTTAGGGTCTAGGGCTTAGGTTTTGGGTTTTGGGCATAGACTTCAGGGCTTAGGGTTCAGGGTTTAGGGCGAAGGGTTTTAGGGTTTAGGGTTCAGGGTACTCAGGGTACAGGGTGTAGGGCTTAGGGTTTCGGGGCTAACCTGAACCCAGCAGCCTTTGCTGTAGGGCTTTCCTACAGTATTCCAAGGAGGATAGGTTTTTTGTGGTGTTTCGAGGCGTCTCACATGCAAGGTTTTTGGATTAATTTGATAGGGTTCTTGTATCGCATGGGTCTCTTTAAGATCTAAGTATGCTGTGTTGCCTTACCTGTAACTGTAGTCTTGAAGGACACGCCTCATTGATTTCAAGAACAGGCCTGCAGGTTCCTCTTGGAGTTTCGGGCATAGTGCTGTTTGCACTTCAGGGTGGTTTTGTTTAGACAGCTGTTCCACAGCGTTCATGACCGTCCCAGAATTGGGGTGTCCTGTGGGCTTAGGGTGAAGGGTTGGGAGGTTAGGGTTCAGCAGTTTGCCGTTCATAAGGGAGTAGGATTTACGACTTAGGGTTGCGTGTTCCGGGTGTGTTAAGGGTTTAAGCTGGCTCAAGGTTTGGAGGCTTGGCCAGTTCACCCGAAACCCTAAACCCTAAGTTGTTTCTCGTTGTCTACGGCTGTCGTCTTGCGATCAGGGGGTTGTGCAGGGGTCTCGTAAGTTCGTGGTTATAACCCAAGGGGTCCAAGTACCTATTTTGTCCGGGTGCCTGGCCCGAGCGGTCTTGCGAAAGTGAGCACGCAGTCGGTCAGCCCTATCTTCGGGTGACGTCTCCATCATTGGGTCCACCAAGTCCATGCCCATGTCTTCGCTCGCCTGAAGCACATCCGGGGGAAAGGGGGCTGGTTGAACCGGCAAGTCTGGCTCAGAGCCGGCAGCTTCTGGTGCTTCGTCGTGGTCTTCGTGGTCTGAATCTGATTCAAAGTCCCCCAAAGGGGTTCACCGGCTGCTGAAGGCAAGCCTGGCTGAAGGGAACTACAACTGACACAGGAATGCATCTCAGAGAACAAGACTGAGCTGCATGCTGGGTTCAACTTCCGGAACCCATGTCTGCCTAATTATCATATACTCTTCAAGATAGTCATCTACATAACTACTATCCTAAAACCGAGTACCTGATTATTGTGTCCTTTGGACCCTTAGGGTAAGAGGTATACAAGCTTCTATCCCGCCTGGCAGGGTCCTAAACAGTGACAAATGGAGTACGGTTGTGGGATGTTGTGGGGTCGGGCTGTGATACGAAAGATGATACAAACATTAACCATAAAAAGGAATCTACCATAACTCCCATAGTCCAGGGTCATTAAGATAATGCTGTATTTAGATCATCAACCGTAGTCACTATAGCACCGTCCGTTCCCCGAACAGATCCAAGGGCAGCTTGGGGCACCACATGCCCGCGCTGTAGTCGGAGGGCAGGCTGACCTTTTTGTCCAGAGTGAGGCTGCATCATGTAAACTCGAACTCACATGAAAGAAGTATGCCCTAAACCCTAATCCCAAAACCCCTAAACCCTCGTTATTAC